GGAGGTGACCCGGGGGACGGGCTGGCTTCAGGGTGGTGCACAGGGACCTGCGGGCAGGGGGCCTGTGTGGCCTCAGGCCCTGCTCTTGCTCTCGAAATGCTGGTAACTTCTGAACGTGGGGCCTGCGTTTTTATTCCACTCTGGGCCCCACACACTCTAGAGGTGGACTCACGCGGGAGAGGCCGTCTCAGGACCACGTCCCTGTGCCTGCGGTCGGTGGAGGGTGACCCACTTTTTGATTCACTGTGAGGTATTTTTACGCGTCACACATCCACGGAGTGCAGCTTCCCATTCTTGTGGCCGTGCATGGGTTGAGTGACGCGGGTCGCGTGTTCGTGTGTGACGCTGTCTCTGGGGAATGCCGAGGAGTGGCACGCTGGGTCGATGGTGGCTCCGTCCCAGTTTTCTGAGGAAGCTCCCCTGCTTTCCAGGGTGGTTGACCAGTTTGCAGTCCCAGCAGCCGCGTGCGAGTGTGCCTTCCCCACATCCTCGCCAGCGCTCTTTGGTACTTGTCTTCTTGATGGCCGCCATTGTGACGGGAGTGAGACGGGATCTCCGTGTCGCCGTGACCTGCATTTCTCTAATTGCTAGAGGCGCTGAGCATTTTTTCTCATGTCTGTGGCCCCTTTGCCCACTCGTGGGTTGGGTCTTTCTCCTTTCTGGTGTGGAGTGTTCTGAGGTCTCTGTGTCCCTGGACAGCCCTGCCCTACCCGAGGTGCAGCTGGTCAGGATCCTCTCCGGTCCTGCAGCCTCTCTCCCACCACGTTCTCGATTGATTCTTCCCTTCACTGTGAGGAAGCTTGTGCGTTTGGCGAAATCCCATTTATTCTTTGCTGATTTTCCTTCGTGTGCTTTGGGGGTCTGATTGGGGGAGTTGGTTCCTGAGCCACACGATGGAGACTTAGGGCCACTCTTTCTTCCAGGAGGCCCAGGGTCCTTGTTGACCCCCTTCTCACCAATCGGATGCAGGAGGCCGGCGCTGGGGATTCTGGGAAAATCTTCTCTGTCCAATCAGGAGGGCTCCTGCTGGGTGCTCCCTCCTCAGGCCTCGTCCCTCCTTCTGGCCACCTCCCCCTGCTGCCAGCACCATGGTTTGACCGGAATGTTCCAGTCTCCTGG